AAACACACTAATAATTAATCACACTTTAGTTCAAACAACAATTATATCGCTTCGAATATTCCTTCGGACTCAACTTGTTGGCTCTCTGGATCTTCATGAGCACGCGTTCTAGGTTTTGAAGGTGTTCCTCAAACGTACGGCCTACGATGATGATGTCATCCAAGTAGACCAGACAGGCATCGCCAATTAGCCCGGTAAGTACAAGTTCCATCAACCTTTATAATGTTGCCGGAGCATTGCACAATCCAAACGGCATAACTTTAAATTGCCACAGACCTTTTCCTGCCGAGAACGCAGTTTTTTCCTTGTCCTTAGGGTCAATTTTAACTTGCCATTAGCCATTTTTCAGGTCCAGCGTGCTAAACCACTTTACTCCTGTAAACATGTCCAGTGTGTCATCAACTCTTTGTAAGGAATATCTCTCCTTTTTCGTAACGTCGTTCAGACGGCAATAATCAACACAAAACCGCATGCCGCCGTCCTTCTTCTTTACCAGCACCACAGGTGAACACCATGGACTAGACGAAGGTTCAATCACGCCAACCTTTACTATTCCCTCAATCATGGTTTCCAATTCATTTTCACATTCTACCGGCTTTCTTCTTGGCCGCTGGCGGATAGGCAATTCTTCTCCCGTGTTTATTATGTGTTGAACTAAGCCAGTCTTCCCTATGTCAGCATCGTTCGACGAGAAAACATCGGCGTACTTGAGTAACAACTTCTTCGCCTTGACCATTTCATTCGGGGAAAGAAAGCTGCGACAGTCTTCTAAAAGTGTGCTCATTCTCGTTTGTGCATCCTTCCTGGGAGTCCCAGTCGACAGATATTGGCACCGACGCAACCAATCCATTTCCTTACAAGTACCAACCAGTGTGCCTTTTCCTATACTCTGTTACTGATCACAAGGGTTCAGCACACGTACTCCTGAGATGTCAGTGGTTCTGACTAAGGTTCGAGCCACTTTCCATGGAAGGTCATTGTCTACTCTTTCAACGAGTACACAACGATGAGCTTGCCCAGCACTCCGAGGAAGACTAACTGACACAATCGTTTCCGATCTCGGCGGAAGAACAACCTTCTTAAGGCTGTACACGTTCCCTGGTAACGCCCTTTCCACGAAAAGTTCCTCTTGTCCACATTTAAAATCACCTTGCTTATCGTCGATCTAACAACAATTATTTCTCATGAAGTCTAGGCCCAGGATGCAGTCGTCCATTATATAAGACACGACAACATTATGCAAGTAGATCATGTTGCCTAGCTTCAACTCCATCTACTTCTCTCCACGGACGGATATACGCTGACTGGTGGCAGTTACCAAATTGATGCGTTCTCGGTTGTATGCGCAGTCCCCACAGACTTATAAGTTGGGAACTGACAACGGTGCGAGAGGCTCCAGTGTCTATTGTCAGTTTACACGTCATTTTTACGAACTAATAGTTAACTCATTACATCAAAAACGTTATTTAAAAAAAAACTTTATTTTTTGACAACGATAACTTTCGAACGGAAGAATCGATTTTGATGTAATTGGTGACATTCGACGAGGATTTTAATAAAATCTAATAGATCGGCGAAAAGGTTTCGTCGTATTTTGTTAGTATAAAATTGAAGAAAAATCTTTTATAAATGCCTGTAATTTTTAAAATACTAAGCAAAGATTTTTCTTAATATCTTTCTGTTAACTATTATGAATTGACCTATCACAATTCCGGCTTGACGATGACTTCTGGGACAACCTGTATGTATACATAGGACTGTATATATAGGACTAAGATAGAAGCGTCTCCAGTTCTCTACACTCACCATACGAAACACAGCAGCTGACTCTACCATGTTTAATATCTAATTTTAGGATATAAAATGTTATTATACCGGCAAAGGATACAAAATCCCTTGGCAGTACAGTTAATATATTTTTTATCACAATTTATTCCTAGGTATATGCATCTTCAGCCATAATAATAATAATAATAATAATCATTTATTGACAGACAACAAAGGCCCGTAAAAAAAGAAACATAATTACTTATAATCTACAAACATAAGAAAAATTGAAATAAACTGAAATACAAAAATAAATGTAAATTAAATAAATGCCACCAAACAAATTAAAACTTACATCTTAACATAGTAGACCAATATTTAAATATTTCACTACAATTTTGTGTTAAAATTAGTATAATCGTGTTTCCAGATTTGAGAAGATTACTTCTAAATCTGGCCACATGATATCTTATCAAAGCATCGAGCGTCGGTACGCGAGCCTCAGCGAACATTGTAGATGCACTACAGTACCTCGGAAAACGAAATAATATTCGGAACGAATCGTTATATTGAACCTTAAAAATTCGATAATTTTCCTTTTTAAATTTAGTCCAGAGATGCGGTGTGTAAAGCGATTGGCAATAGGTTTTAAATATTAATATTTTAGCATCTCGCTCGCATTTATTAAATTTCCTGCCAATCATATTTGCACGTACAGCAAGGGACCGCCTTTCTCTGTCCATGTCCTGATCATCCTTCAGGTCACTCGATACGATATGTCCTAAATATCGAAAGCTCGTCACAAACTTCAAATTTTTGCCGTTCAGGTATAATGGCAAACAAACATCTTTACTAGGCGCTCCAAAGACCATTGCCACAGACTTCTCTGCATTATAAACTAAATCGTGGCTTGCTGCGCATCTCTCACAAATAGAAATTAACTTCCTTAAGGCTCCGATTGAGGGCTCAATAAAACCATATCGTCTGCGTAACTAAGATTGTTTACACATTTCCCACCTACATGACAGCCGATACCCGTTTCATTGAGCTCCTCAATTAGAGCGTTAACGTAAAGGTTAAACAGCAGAGGAGAAGTCAGCCCACCCTGCCTAACCCCCCTAGTCAGTACAAACTCTTCCGGAAGCGAGCCATCCCAGTTCACTACATTAACCTGCGTATTATACCAATTAATAAGGATTCTAATTATGTCGGAAGGAACACCCACCAGTTTTAACTTATCCCACAGGATGCTATAGTTTACCCTGTCGAAGGCGCGACTCAAGTCCAAAAAACCAGCGTAAACTTTTGTTCGTCGTGACACGTAATACGTTACTATTTGTTTTAAGGAAAAAATAGCCAACTCAGTAGAGCTACCTTTTTTAAAACCAAACTGAGCGTCATTTATAAAAATAAATTTCGATAAAATATCCAGAATAATAGACTCAAATAGTTTCGCACAGGTTGTAGCGATTGAGATAGGCCTATAATTGGAACTGATCGTATCGCTAACGGTTTTACTTTTGACAATAGGGCTAACCACGCATTTTATTAGGTCAGGAGGCAAAAATGAGTGTTTTAAACACGCGTTAATAAAAACCGAAAGAAACACCACAACCCAGGGTCCACCGTAACTTAAATTTTCTACCGAAATGTGGTCATGACCACACGCTTTACCAAGGTGCATCTTTTTAAGGGCATTATACACCATACTCTCATCAATATGAGTATATGATAAAACAGGCATATCAAGTGTATCTATCGCAGAAGGGCCACCACTAGTATAGCAGTCATTCAACAAAAAGTTCTGTTTAAAATTATTAGCTATCTGTTTTTTATCGCTAACACCATCCACGCAGACCGGAACTCCAACCCTTATGTTGCATAGTTTTGATGTATGTTGCCAAAATTTAGAAAAGTTTTTGTCTATACATGCGTTACTTATCCGCTCCAATAAAATCTTATTTTCATTTTTCTGGCACCACTTTAAGCGGCCTTTAAATATAGACCTACTTTGCTTCATCATATCATAGAGAGAACCAGAGCTGGGAGCCCCCGCCCCGATCCACCTTGATAAGTTTACTTTAGTATCCACATACGCTGATTTTACTACATCATTCCAGCCCGGCATGCCTTTACGTTTACGCGTTGACACTCCATACCCTACCTGACTTACGTGGCTTTTAATAGCGGATGTATGAAGACTTTCGATAAATTTCTTATAAATTCTAACGAGAAAACCTTTGTGTGAGTCGCAAGTACAGCTATCGCAAGAAGAAATTAAGCGCAGATAGTCCCAATTAAATTCTGATAAGAGATAACTACACCACCACTCATACGCTTTAATCTCATCCCCACTTCTCTTACCCCAAGAAATAAGGTTCCTAGATTTAGCGTGATTAACCACAATTCTCTCAACCGCAATTATGTTAAAGTTAAATTCGAATGCGAGAGGCCAGTGGTCCGACCAAAATACATCATTTATTACATATACTCTTGATAACGCCGACCACGCGACCCGAGTTACGATGCAATGATCAAGCCAGCTCTTTGTGCCATGAGCATAACTAACGTATGTAGAAATATTTTCAAAATCTTTAAAAAATTTAAGGTCTGCACAAATCAAATCATTTTCAGAACAAAATTTTATTAATTCGTTGCTAAATAACGTGTTAATATTCGCATTATAGTCTCCTAAGGCAATAGCCACATTTACGAAATGATTTTCTAATAAACTTTTGATTATACATAAAATATTTGTAAATTCAGGTAAATTTTCAAGATTGTTTTGAGGCATATAGACAGAAAAATACATATGACAATTCCCATTAATATACGATTTTATAGCACAAATTCGCGAATCGTTACAATTTACTAAGTCAACATTATTAAATAACGCAGTTCTCCACAAGAGGGCCACACCTCCATATGGTCTCCCTTTTAATATTCCGGATGAAGAATCGACCGCAGAGGTACCATGTGAAGAGAACTCGGTATGAATTGTTGACAAAAAAGATAGCTCATGGGGAAGCAGCCAGGTCTCTTGAAGAGCCACCACATCAAACTCTTTACACAGTTCTCTAACGTGATCAACACTTCTCTTAATTGACTGACAATTAAAACTAACGAACTTCATGTCTTACGTAATTACTTTGCCAGAAATGTCTAAACACTATGCCTACAGGCCAGAAGTCCTCACTCATAAAAATATGTTTTCTGTCAAAATTAATCCTTACCTTAAAAGAAGCAAAGTTAGTCACTTTAAAAGGTTCAATACGTTCAACACTTATCGCTTGTTCACCTTTACACTTAATATACTCCTCAAGCTTATCAGCAGTCGTTGAAACGTCTAAACGTGATACATATAAGTAAAGAGATCTCGGAGCAGCTCGGATAAGCGAATCTCCTAGTGGTTGCACGGCCGCCCTACCCTGCCTATTCCTATTTTTCTTTTTATAAGACACGGGCACAAACCCTTCGTCCTTATTTATTGTCAGATTAACCTCTTTTTGGCTACGTAATGGTGCAGACGTATTTATGTCGTTAGTTATCGTATCGTCAGTCTCGCCTAACACTGTTACCGTACTCGTACTTGTAGTTGCAGACGGACGTTCAATACGCATACGTACGTCCTCTCTCGACACACTTCTCTTTGCTACAAAAGCCGAGGTCGAGCGCGGATGCGATTGCGATGCACTCTCAGCGCTCCTCCCTCTCTCCCCTCCAAAAGTGCGTAGTAACACTGGTGATCGGTCGTTTCTTATTTGAGTTTCAATAGAAACACAGCTACTATTTTTATCTTTACTACCTTCTTTTTCTAATTTATTATCACGAGTATGTTGTTGTTCTAAATCTTTACGTAGGTTCTCCAAATCTGATTGCGTAGCCAATACGTTTTTAATGTTCAATAATTCTTGTTTTAACAGAACTATGTCCTTTAAAAGACTGGTTACATCAACGTGATCAAATGTTACGGGTGGGAGCCTATTGAGGTTCTTCGCCACAAACACTGGAAGGCTAGAAGGCTCCGTTTCTTTAAGAATTTTTATGATATCCTGAAGAAGCCTTTTGTTTTTCCCCTCCCCTTTACGTGTCACTCGTCGAGTTATTGAAGAATCTAATAGAAGCGCCTTTGCACGATCAATTTCTTCCTCCGTAAAATTAGATTCACATATTTGTAGTAAACTGACTTCATCAATCACGTCGATTTTACACTGAATAAAACAAAGTAGCTCGTTTACCACTAAACGGCAACCACACAGATTTGACATTTTATATTAGCGAAGCGCATGAAAAATGCACACACGTCCGTACGCTAGCGATGCGCCATAATGAAAAGTAAAGAAATGAAAAGTCGTATGTTTAACAAAGAACTAAAAAAATAAAAGTTGACCCTGCAGGCCATCCCTGGAACTTCCCGCTATGTTCGATCTCAAAACGCTCGACAAATATTTTTACGATCTAATAGTTAACTCATTACATCAAAAACGTTATTAAAAAAACACTTTATTTTTTGACAACTATAACTTTGGAACGGATTATACGATTTTGACAATCGACGAGGATTTTAATAATAATAAAATCTAAAAGATCGGCGAAAAGGTTTCGTCGTATTTTGTGAGTATAAAATTGAAAAAAAAAATCTTTTATGTTGTACTGTTTGTATCTGGCTGGTTTTAATATCAATACATATAGGACATTAAGTTAAAAAAAGTTAAAAAACACTTTCTTGCCTTTTTTCAATTGATTTTCTGTTCGCCAAAATGAGTGAATCTAATCTGTACACTCTGAAGATTTGTTACAAAAAAAAGGGAAAAATGCGACTCAAGCTGCGAAAAAAAATTTACGACTTTTATGGACTTAATGCAGTGTCAGTAAGAAAGTAGCACAAAGTTAGTTCAAGCATTTTCAGTCCAGTAATTTTGATGTCAAAGATGCAGCTCGCCCTGGTCATACGGATAAAGTAGATGCCATTTTTGTAAAAGTGGAGCAAGATTGACATATTAGTAGTACGACATAGCTGAGGAATTGAGTATTGAACACAAAAGAGTTTTGACCTATTTGAAAAAGTCTGGCTATACAAAAAAGCTCGATATTTGGGTACCACATGAACTCACTGAAAGAAACCTAATGAATCATTTACTCATTTGCGATTCTCTATTGAAACATTATTAAATCGAGCCATTTTTGAAAAGATTGATAGTGATGATGACAAGTGGATTACCTATGACAAGAATATGCGAAAGAGATCATGGTCAAGGGGTAGTCAAGCTCCACAGATTGTAGTGAAACCCGGATAAACCCGCAATAAGGTGGTGCTGTGTGTATAATGGGATTGGAAGGTCATCGTTTATTATGAGCTTTTATCACCGGGCAAAACCATCGACTTGGATCTCTACTGTCAACAGCTAATGAGACTTAAGAAAGAAAATGAGAAAAAAACGGCCGGAATTGATCAACAAAAATGGAGTGGTCTGTCATCATGATAACACCAGTGGCCTGGCACCTTTGACCACTCAGCAAATATTGAGAGAGCTTGGTTGGGAAGTGTCAATGATCACCATATAGTCCTGTTTTTGTCTCCTTATAATTATTTGGATAGTGTTAGGTTAACATCAGGAGTGGACTTTCCAACCTACTTGTCGCATTGTTTTATCGAAAATCCCAAGATTTCTACAGCAACGGGATTATGTAACTACCTATAAGATGACAACAAGTTATCGAACAAATGGGAAAATTTTTAAATGTAAACTTTGAAATATTTTGTATTTAGTGAGCTAGAAATCGGTGAGTTGTTGCTGGTTTGCGTCATTTATTTATTGTTTATATTATCATCATCTTTTTTACACTCTCTATTAACACTCGCTCGAAGTTCGATGAGACAGTAATCCTACACGACTGGAGAGATTAAGCATAGAAACAACGGCTTTACGTGCTTTCCGAGACACGGGGTTGAAACACTGCCAATTTCCCGGCTCTGGGCTGCTACTGAAAATTTCTTGATTGCAAAACCCAATAACTGATTTTTGCCTAACCCAGTATCTCATGCGTAGCAGATCTACTTACAACAACTTTATCAGACATTAGTAGCCCTATCAACAAGTGAATCAGTGAATCCCCTTTCCTGTTTTATCTTAATAACATCTAGAGTCACCACCGGCGAATTCATTTCTTGCTTAAAACAACATAATTGTATGGCCTACAAATAATCATTTTGGTTCTTTGGGTCACAAACAATCATTTGTGTTGTTCGTGTGTATTAAAAGAACAGAATTTTGTATGTACAGTACATCTCCAACTACATGATGCAAGAGAAATTTCTGAAGTGGTGTTTTTTTTTAATAATTTGATATGTTTTTTTTTTTAAATAAATTCTTTTACCTTTGTCAAAGTCATCTGTTATACTCTTTGAACCATATGTAATTAGTGGCAAGTTGTTCTCCGAATCCTTATGTCGATCTTCAAAAGCATCAATCTCCAAGTCTTCTTGTTGTTCATCAGTATCTAGAATGAAACAGATTCTGACTCAATACATAAAATAAAATCTGATATTTTTTTCCAAGCGACTAGATCATTACAGTCCATCACACAGCTTATGGGCCCGAGCCACCCACTTTCATTACCATACTGCATGTTTCATAAGGTATGTGTAATAACCTGAAGTGGCAATGGGCCGAAGAACTGACAACCTGACAACCAATGGAGAAGAAAGGTTCTCCTAACGGACGTAATTGTGGTAACCTCCTACCAGTAGACAAAGAGTAGGGCGGACCCCACTAGATGGAGTGACAACTTGGTAAAGTTTTGGTCTCTTGATCGTAACGCACAACGCTGCGGTATGCGGCTCAAACGCAGCGTCACGCCGCAGCGTTTAGCATCTCTGCGGAGAACTGGTCGGTTGATTTTGTCGCAACTACCAAAGCAGACGTGTCAACATGAACAATAGTTTTGAAATTTGTGCTTTGTTAGATGAGGAGGAAGAAAGAATTTTGGCTTTACTTTTATATAAAAAAGGGATAATTGCGGATTAATTATATTATATTAAAATCTTCAAACAAATTCCATTGTCAACCCGTAACGCACACCGCAGCGTCGCAACGAGAACGACGCCGTGCAGTGCGGAGTACCCGCCCCCCACTTCACTACACTTGCCCTTCGCCGCTGACGCATACTGCGACGGAATAAGAGACCATTCTACACGTTTTTCATACGATTGTGTCCGGCACCGCATGCCGCATACCGCAGCGTTGTGCGTTACGATCAAGAGACCAAAGCTTTAGACATGCAGGAAGTTGATGGATGCAGGTGGCTCAGAACCATGCTCTGTGTTGTTCCTATGTTCAGCAGTGAACTTGTAAAGGGCTATAATGATGATGATGATTCATTCGCCTCATTTAGTGAGTGTTCTGCCACAACTTGCTTTTAGTAGGTGAGTGCTTGCCAGTAAAAGGATACCGTGAGCACCCTTTCTCTATATATGTTTTAGTATGAACTGAGAAACAAACTAACAATCCACCTTATGGTATGTAGCCGATCCACCTGATGGTAAGTGGGTACTGCAGCCTATGGACTGTCTGCATCTAACTTAAAACATAATACAATGCGCTGTCACCTCTGACGACTAAGATGCAATGCCCTACAGCCTGTGATTATACTGACTCTATACTCTTCAGACTGGCACACAGAAGTGCACGCACTGCTATTTGATGACAGAAATAGGTAACAGGAGGATGGAGGAGTCCATCTGGATTAGAAATTGGCAAAGATAAGTGGTAGCTTATCAGTTGTAAGTATATCATTAACTCCTATGAAGTTAATACATCTTGGTGTACATACATACTGGCTGCATTTATGCAGGGTCAAAACATTTATAAATATATTTATACATAAGTAAAATGAAATGTCTAACAATGCTCATTATGATGTCCATGTATGCTTATCTTTTAAATACTTAATTATTAAATTTATTTTCTTTCTCCATGAGTGCTTTTTACATGCACTTTGAATTTAGGCAAAGGCAAATCAGTACATTGCACCTTTATTTTGTGTCCATGGGCTACAGTAACCACTTGCCATTATGTAAATTGTACGTTAATTTAATAATATCACAAAATGTGTATATCTTACCTGTTTCATGTCTACAGTTTACTTCAAATTTGTAATTCTCATTTTCGATTTTCTCTTCCTCAACTTTAACAGATTCAAGGCTAAAAATGTCGTCCTTACAATCATTTTCTATATTATACTCTACTGGCCAGATATCTATATGATTAATTGGTGTGAATTGAATCTCATTTCTAGCCTCATGCGGTTTTGGTATTGACTGAAACCAAACTCTTTTTTAAATAAGTGTAGGAGAATCCACACTACCCTATACCATCCCACAGATGCAGCAGCATCTTTCTGACAACAACTTCAAATAATAGTAAAAACCGGACAAAAGTGAGAGTTCCCAATAAATTTAAATAAGAATGTAGATAATTCAGAAATGTAATTAGAATCGAGACTCAACAATTTTTCCATTTAGATTCACAAATACCATAAATTGACAAAAGTTTACTAATAATATTTATCACCTATAGATAATATTTAGGTTATATACAATAGAGTAATTCATAACAGTATAAACAGTTCGATAATTATTTTTGTAAAAATAAGACTTCACTTTTTTTAATTATGTGCGAGCAGCTATGCAGGTCTAGGGAAAGAGACCACTGCGACCTAAAAGATCTATTATGATCGCTGCTATGGCTATAGTTCACTGCTAAGCCCTATGTCTTCAATGAATGGGAGTTGCTTAGCTGTGAGCAATTTCACTTCTTCTGGGCGGAGTACATAGTTTCCCAGACAAGTGTCACCTTTGCGCATTAAAGATCCGCAATCAGTTAGGATGTGCAGAGGCGTTTCTTCCGTTATGGAACAGAACCGACACATCCTTGCGTTGCTTAGTCCCAGGATGGACATGTGCTTTTTAAGACAACAGTGTCCAGTTAGGGCTCTAGCCAGAATGCGCAATTTATTTTTACTTAATTCCAGGGCTTCTGAAGCGAATTTACGATCAAAGCGGATTAAGTTTTAGAAGTTTTAGCCTGGTGTGTCAGACCAGATCTTAAGTGATTTATTGTGATTGAGTTTCAAGGGTCAATCGGGCTAGGTTTCTTGAGATTCCACTAAATGGCTCAGGTTCAAATTGTGTGCACTTTAAGCCCTCCCGTGCAAGTTTGTCGGCAAATTCGTTGCCTACAATACTAGCGTGAACCAATCCTAAAATGACCCCGTTGTTACATCCCAGGGCGTTTAAACGGTTCACGCAGTCTCCAACTAGCTTCGAGTTCACTAAGTTTGACTTCAACGCTAGCAGTGCTGCTTGACTGTCAGAGTTTATATAAATTATATAGTTGACGTAGCATTTTTGCAGATTGATTTCCGCACACTGAAATATGGCGAAAATTTCTGCCTGGAAGATAGAGGTGTATCTGAATACACTAAGTTTGAATTTGGGGCGAAGACTAAGTAGAAGAGTAAGTGATTACTGTAATTCATAAAATATAGAACATTGCTCTTACGAAAAAGTAAGTTGGATTGAAAGACAAACTTAACTTTGCAGGAGAAAATACATTCTACCATATAAAAAAATAAATAAATAAGGTTTTATTTATAAACAAGTACATATACAACTTCTTATCATAAGTATCGTATCACAAGTAAGCTCCTCTTCCATATCATATTATTAATTTACTGAAGCATATTATACTAAATTTAACGCTGAGTGTAAACAGCAAATTTTTTTGAAATTTAGAAAGTAGAAATCATGTGTGTAGTGCGTGTGTATGTAGTGATCGTGTACCTAGTGTGTGTGTGTAATATTCTTGAGCACATCTCGAATCCCACAATTTTCTAACTTCTGCAACAGAATGGAGGTACACTATGTCAAATGCCTTTTACGATCAAGAAACACCGAGAGGCAATTTGAATTTTTATAAAGACTATCAACAACTACAGATGTTAGGGCTTCTACAGCGTTTTCAGCCGAATTTCCTGCTTGAGAGCCAAACTGGGTAAGATGTGAAACTTATGCGCCTCTTGTTCATAAGTTTTTGTATAGCTTTTGAATATCTATAGCTTTTTAGTGAAATTGGTCTGTAGTTGTCGATATCCTTATCGACTTCTTGTTGACTCCTTAAACAAAGACAGAAATATACCATTCTACTATATTAAAATAACGTGTAGTATGACACATGATTTGTAGTGATCATTAAGATGCATACCAAGTGAAAATTAAGGTAAATATTTCATTATAATGGGAATAACTTAATGGCAAAGAAGTACCATTTTCCACGGAAGTTAAGTACTTGGGCGTAACAATCGACCAAAAACTAACGTGAAACTCTCACCTTAGCAACATATGCCATAAGGCAAAAATTGCTTTAGGTACGTGCGGTCGTTTGGTCGGGAACAACTGGGGCTTGCGTCCCAGTATGGTCTTATGGCTGTACAGCAGCATAGTGAGGCCGATTCTCACCTACGCCTCTATTGTCTGGTGCAACAAGGCCAACCAAAAGATGACTGCGGACAGACTAAATAGTCTACAAAGGACTGCCTGCCTAATGGCAACTGGAGCTATGCGATCATCACCTGGAGCGGCTCTTAATGCACTTCTATTCCTAACGCCCCTTGATCTCTATCTAGATAAGGAGGCGAGGGCTAGTTTGTATAGAATTAACGCCCAGGGCGGTCTGAGCTTGCTCTCCTACAGATTGAGATCCATGCTCGACACAATTAAGGAATCACCGGTCTTATGCATGATCTCAGATATCATGTGTCCACTATACACTTTTGATAAAAAGTATATAGTGGAATTACCCTCCAGAGAAGACTGGCTGAATAGCCAGGTTATCTGTGAGGTCGGTAGCCTCATATGGTATACCGATGGGTCTAAAATGGGCCTCGACGTAGGCTTTGGAATTTACGGGGAACGCCCCAAAATTCAAACTTAGTATGAATTTGGGTAGATACACCTCTATCTTCCAGGCAGAAATTTTCGCCATACTTCGGTGTGCGGAAATCAATCTGCAAAAACACTACGTCAACCATAAAATTTACATAAACTCTGATAGTCAAGCAGCACTCAGAGAGAGATCAAACTTAGTGAACTCAAAGCTAGTTGGAGACTGCGTGAACCGTTTAAACGCCCTGGGTTGTAACAATAGGGTCGTTTTAAGATGGGTTCCGGGTCACGAGGGTATTGTAGGCAACGAATTTGCCGACAAACTTGCACGGGAGGGCTCAAAGTGCACACAATTTGGACCCGAGCCATTTTTTGGAATCTCAAAAAGCCTAGCCCGATTGACCCTTGAAACTCTTTATAACAATAAATCACTTAAGATCTGGTCTGACACACCAGGCTTAAAACATTCAAAAACCTTAATCCGGGCTTTTGATCGTAAATTCGCTTCAGAAGCCCTGGGATTAAGTAAAAATAAATTGGTTATTCTGCCCTAACTGGACACTGTTGTCTTAAAAAGCACATGTCCATCCTGGGACTAAGCAACTCAAGGATGTGTCGGTTCTGTTCCATAACGGAAGAAACGCCTCTACACATCCTAATCGATTGCGGACCCTTAATGCGCAAACGTAACACTCATCTGGGACACTATCTACTCCGCCCAGAAGAAGTGAAATTGCTCACGGCTAAGCAATTCCTTCGATTCATTGAAGACATAGGGCTTAGCAGTGAACTATAGCCATAGCAGCGATCACAATAGATCTTCTAGGTCGCAGTGATACTGGTCTCTTTACGTAGACCGGCATAGCTGCTCGCACATAAAAAAAATCTTCCTGATAACAACTCAGACTAATATATACTGCAGTTCCCAACCTGCCAAGCGTGGCAAATCCCTCCTATGAAGCAATCTATGAACGACTTTTATAGGTTTTAATGAATGGAATGGATAATAAATACCATGGAGCCTCCTACAAGCAACTGCTCCAGAACTACATTTGACTCAATAGCCTGTTGTTGTAATGCTCTGCATCGAATGAGTCTTGCATGACAGATGAAACAGACAATTATGGGCTCCTCATCTTCATCCATCTGAAAATATGAAAGTTTGTTATATATACGAGTATGGAAAACTACTTAAATATACAAGTTTGTAGTAAGATATATTGACCACCACAACTCTCTTCTTCAACATCATTTTTTTTAACATTGAAGTAACAAATAAACTTACAATCCACCTGATGGTAAGTGGCTGCTGCAGCCCATAAGCACCTGCAACAAACTTCAAGCAAACGCTCCAGATGCGATGTTACCTCTGCGGACTAACAGCCTGGCCACGGGACATTCGCCGTAGCGAAAATTCGCGCGGCGCGAACGGCGAGGCGTCTACCGACTAAAACAAATGTATAGAAATGTATGAATCAAGCCACGCGTAGAGGCGAGTGGCGACGCGACCGGCGAAATTTACCGGGCGAATCGCGCGGGCGACTGGCGGCGCGGCGGGCGACTGAAACAAATGTATGAATCAGTGAATCAGTACGGTGCAAGCCACGGAGTCGGGCGGCAGACGCGGCGAAAACCGGCGAATAGTATAGGGAACAAAATATTTTAGTTGTTTTCGCCGCGAAAAATGCCGGGCCGACAAAATCAACTTTTTTTTTTTTTTTAATATTTTTTTTTTTTGTTCTTTCTCTTTTGTATTCCGCTCTCTCATCTCTTCTTTTTCTTGAATCAAGGCTCCCTATATACTGGCTCTCGATGTCCTTCCGGCTGGGACACATACTGCTGCGTGGTGGCAGGTATACGTAACAGGATGATCACTACCCAGACAGAAAAAAGTCCTACCACCTAGTGGATCATCATCACTGCAACACTTCTTAAGTCTTAAGCCACCTACATCCATCGACTTCCTGTCTTCTGCAGTTCTGCAAGCTATTAGCTGCGCGCAGAGTTTGCCTGTGACTACTCGTCTCTTGCCTCCGCTAACCGCGTCCCGCGCTCGCCTAGTTAGTACCTTTATAGTCGCCTAAAACTTTTTCCGGTTGAAAGTTAAGTTGACTTTAGTATGTGCCAAATTGATTGAGAAAAACGGACAATGACCTCAGAGCCGAGTGTCAAAAGGCGTAACTTACAA